TAGTACTATTTAATATTTTACCATTATGAAATGGTGTGTATTGAATACTTCATGCTACAAGTGCATTTATTATATTTGATTTTATGGTATATGCCGATAAAATTCCATACACGTGTCAGCCTGTGTATTTAGATAGCGTTTTGACTTTGTCACCTACATTAATTATCGATATATTTGCATTTTTTTCATAAACCCACAGTGCATTTGTACATAAATCTCTTTAACATTTATCAAAAAGGGAAAAACTTTCGATATACGATATAATTTCGCTATTTCATGCTGGAAGTAATTTCATTTATTTTGATTTTGCATGGTGACTGTGGAATGGTTTCAAACACTTGGCAGCTAGCCTATACATAGCCAGTGTTTTGAATCTGCCATCTGGACAATTAGAAATAAGATAGTCTTTCCTTTAAGTGCGCTATATATAGTTGTCCCCACAATATACTAACACCTATTTCTTCTATATAAGGCCGTACACGTGTTTGTATGGGAGAGTACCCCACTCGGATATATACAGAGACAGCAATATATACAAGACGGTGAGTATGCTTTAAAAGTTATCAGTTTCAAATATACAGTAGCCCAAAAATCCACAAACACCGTTATTTTGAATTATACTAAAATAACAACAGTAGCTGAGGTTAATATGTTGATGGGTTAGGCATCCACCATTTATTGGATTTTTTATATACACTAAAGATTTTCCCACCTCATTACAGAGTTTTTTAAATTATTATTCCTAACCTTTTATATGGTGAGTATGTTTTATTATTTTGATTTTGATATAACTGTTATTCCAACGGAACCAACATACAGTATGTGATAACAAAAATATTTTAAGAGACGACACATGTGGTTGCCTACGAGGCATGAGACGGAGGGGGGGGGGGGGGCTCAATCTTTTGATTTACTGTTTGCTTAAAGCAAACAAAGTTACGGTTTTTATCATCACAATTGAAGATCAGGCCTTCCCAACTACCAGACTCGGCACCTACGGGTCCAGTATAAACCGGTTTATCAGACCACACTACCCGTTTTCAAGGTGTGTGTCAGATCGCATTACAGAGTATCAGCCACCACACCGATTTTGCCTGGTGCGCGATGTGATAGCAATGATCCTAAGCGGGGTTGGAAAGTAGTGCATCTCATCTAGATTCATGCGCTGCTGCAATTTTCTCTGTTTATGCTAAAATCTGACAGTACCGCAATTTATAACATAAAATTTAGGTTCGGACATAGCCATTGATGTTTTGTAAATAAGAACTTGCAAACTTATATATTAATTTAGAAAAGTAGACCTAATTTTGATAGCAGAAGCATATTCTGTCGGGGGTTAAATATTTTCGTGACTACCGGGATGGACGAGATTGAGGGCAGGGGTAATCCTAGAGAGGGGTGAGAAACGTCCATTGTTCTCGTCAGCGAGGCTGTCCTTTTTCAGG